GGTAAAAAGTGAGCTCTTGGGGCTGGAGCAATAGCACAGCGGGTAGGGCGTTTGCCTTGCACGCGGCTGACCCGGGTTTGATTCCCAGCATCCCATATGGTCCCCCGACCATATGGAGTGATTCCTGAGTGCAAAGCCAGGAGTAATCCCTGAGCTTCGCTGGGTGTGACCCAAAAAACAAAAAAAAAAAGTGAGCTCGGGTATTAACAGAACTGCTCCAACTCCTGGCACCCCTATCTATCCTGGGAGCAAGTCTTTGTGCTCCTCCTGATCCGAGATGTGGAAAGCACAGCGTCCCTGCCCCCTTCTCCTGCCAAACCATGGCCGCAGGACTGGGCGCCCTGCTGAGGGAGCCCTGCTGAGGGCTCCTCTCACAGGGCCAGTCCTGTGAGTCCTGTATCTGGTCTTCTCTTAATTCTGCGTGTATAAAAGGGGACAAAAAGGCTGAAGATGAGGCTCAAGGAACAGAGCATGTGTCCTGGATTCAACTCTACTCCCCCCCCCCCCCATGCTCCCTATCCCCTGCACTGCTGGGAATGACCCTCACAACAACAAAACATAGCCATCATCTTTATTTTTCTTGGGCTGGGAAGCAAGCCTGCTGTGCTCAGCGGGGGAGGCCCAGTTCGGTCCCCGGCTCTGCGCCACCCGGAGTAGCCATGAGCATCGGCTGCTGTTGCTCAAAAAAAAAAACACAATGAACACTTTTCTTTTTTCAGGGGGGAATATCCAGCTGTGCTCAGGAGTTATTCTCAGTTCTCTCTTTTTTGCCTTTTGGGTCACACCCAGCATTGCACAGGGGTTACTCCTGGCTCATGCACTCAGGAATTACTCCTAGCGGTGCTCGGGGGACCATATGGGATGCTGGGAATTGAACCTGGGTAGGCCACGTGCAAGGCAAATGCCCTACCTGCTGTGCTATTGCTCCAGACCCTCTCGGTTCTCTTGGGGGATAGACTGGGGTGCCACTCCTGGTGGTGCTTGAGGGACTTCTGCAGTGCTGAGGATCAAACCTGGACTCGTGCATGCAAAACCTGAATTATGTCTCAGGCTCAACAATCAAATTTAGAAGCGGGTGCCACAGTAGAATAGGATGCTTGCCTTCACGTAACCAATCATCTGGGTTCAATTCCCGGCACCCCATATGGTCCCCTGAGTCCTACCAGAAGTGATACCTGAGAACAAAGACAGGAGTAAGCCCTGAACACTGCTGGGTGTGATCCCCCCCTCCCGCCCCGAGAAAACTCTAGACAAACGACTACATTTAAACAGGGCAATGGTTGCTTAAGCCTGGCAGTGGGGGCAGGGCGGAGTGAGGCTGAGAAGCTGGAGCCCGGGCCTGGCACCTGGGACCCTCTGGAGGTGGCCAGACTCTGCTGAGGTCTAGGAAAGTGTCCTGTGGCTCCAGGCTGATGGCAGAGCTGCGGTTCGCAGCCTGAAGCTCGGCTGGTCTCGTCACCATCTTCTCTGGAGCCCCGACTCCTTTCCTGCACAACTTCATGTGGTACCGGTTCAGAGACACCTCAGCTGCTGCTCCAGACTCAGTTCAGAAAAGAGGGGCTCTGTATCCCACACATACACAGCCACACCCTCCTGGAATCAAAGCCTCTTACAGGGACTGGAGGTCAGGGGAGTGGGGACTTCTGCTGGGGTGAAAATGTCAGATGGTCCCCACTCAAGTGTGGATGCTGGGGTGGGAAGGAAGGGCTGGTGGTCAGGTGTGGGGGCGGAGCCCATACCTGGCATGCCTTAGTTAGGTTCTGAGTTCACGACCCCCCCCCTCCAGCACTGCCAGTGATAGCCCTAGCGACCACTAGTTACTGTGGGGATGTCCTGGGTGTCCCCAGCAATGACACGCCTGAGCAGTATTGACTAGACCACTGCACCCTCAGGCTTCTACCGCTGAGCCAAGCATCACCTGAGGGACCCACTGAGCACTGCGCGGCCAACCCCTTCCACAAAACCAAACACCTGAACATGGGTGGTGCCCATGAGGCAAGTGTTGTCTCCCGAGAGGCCACTGTTATTTCAGGCTTAGCGATAGCACAGTGGGTAGGGCGTTTGCCTTGCACGCGGCTGACCTGGCCAACCCAAGTTCGATTCCTCCGCTCTACTCGGAGAGCCTGGCAAGCTACCGAGAATATCTCGCCTGCATGGCAAAGCCTGGCAAGCTGCCCATGACATATTCGATATGCCAAACACAGTAACAAAGTCTCACAATGGAGACGTCACTGGGCCCACTCGAGTAAATCGATGAACAACAGGAGAACAGTGACAGTGATTTTTTTAACTAAAAATTTTTTTTCAGGCCACACCCAGCGATGCTCGGGGATTACTCTTGGCTCTGCACTCAGGAATCACTCCTGGTGGTGCTCGGGGGATCATATGGGATACTAGGGATTAAATGTGGGTCGACTGCATGCAAGGCAAGTGCCTTACCTGCTGTACTCTGACCCTAGTCCAGGCTTTTTAAAAATAATGTCTTGGGGGCTGGAGTGATAGCACAGTGGGTAGGGCGTTTGCCTTGCATGCGGCTGACCCTGGTTCGATCGCTAGCATCACATATGCCCCCTACAGCACTGCCAGGAGTGAGATCAGGGGAGTGTTTTCTTCCCGGTGGGGAATCTAACTCAGGTTGGCCTCATACAAGGTGAGCACCCTACCCTCTGTGCTCTCTCTGGTTCCCATTTTGACACGAACACTTTTTGGCTTTTTCCTGCGTGAGTGCCTCTCACAGGTGAGCCCTGTCTCCAGCCTGCAGTGGTGGTTTTGTTTTCATTTGGGGGCTACACTCTGCAGTGCACGGGGTTGGTACTGGGCCACCTTGTTGGATCGTGTGGTTCTGGGGACAGAGCCTGGTCTTTCCAGCCTGTGGAGTGCTCTCCACCCCCCAGTCTGGGGTTCCTGCTCTCACACAGCTGTGCAGCCATCAGACCACTCTGCTCTGCCGAAACCCTGTACCAGCCTCCAGCGCCGGCAGCCAGGAACCAACTTCCTACCTTTACATTGACCTGTTCTGCACACTTCATGCATTTAAGTGGGATTCTAGAATAAATTTTGTTTTGTCTTTTTTTTGGGGGGGGGGGAGGTCACAACCAGCAATGCTCAAGGGTTACTCCTGACTCGGCACTCAGGAATTATTCCTGGAGGTGCTTGGGGGACCATATAGGATGCCGGGGATCGAACCTAGGTCGGCCGCGTGCAAGGCAAAACGCCCCATCTGCTGGAGTATGGCTCCGGCTCCTGTTTTGTCCTTTCTGTGGTGTGGGGGCCTGAGTCCCAGGCCTCACGCCCGAAAAACATGAGCCAGCTTCCCGCCCCTCTGCTGCGGTTTGGTGTTGGTCTTCTCAGCACAGGGTTTCCAACATTTACCTGTGGGGTAGCCTTGATCAGAATGTTCATTGCTGGTTCTTGCCTAGGAGGATCCTTGGCACTGCAGACCATACACATACTTTCTAAGCGGATGGCCCCTTGTGTCATTCTGCTTTCTGCCTGCTAGGAATCTGAGATGAACAGTGCACGTATATGTTTGTCTGTGCATGTGCAAGCCCATTTTACAGAGAAGGTTAGCTGAGGCTCACAGAGCAGAAACTGCCCACTGGAGCTCCCCCAGCTGATGAGCTGAGGACCTGGGCTGGCTGGTCAGACCCACGCTCAGGCCTTGTTCTTGAACTAAATGCAACAATAGCACCAGGTGAGGGAGGCCACACAGGAAGATGGGGTTCACTGTGTAGACACTGGAAGGAGTGCCAGCTGCCCAGGCCCCGAATGATGTTTGAAGGGGGTCTGTCACAGGTATGCAGCTGCTGGTGTCAGAGATCTGAAAGGAGTTCTGTGTTTCTGGGCGTGTGTGTGTGTGTGTGTGTGTGTGTGTGTGTGTGTGTGTATGTGTGTGTGTGTGTGTGAGCAGAGAAAGGAGTGAACTGCGATGCAGTTGGACATACAGGCACAGAATAGATTCAAGGGGCCTTGAGGGGGACTGGAGCCATAGTACAGCAGGGAGGGCACTTTCCTTGCATGCAGCCAACCCAGGTTCCATCCCTGGCACCCCATGTAGTCCCCTGAGCCCATCAGGATCGATCCCTGAGTGTTGAGTCAGGAAGAAGCCCTGAGCACCACTGGGAAAAATATTAAAAAATAAAAAGGCCTTGAGGGTGTCATAGAGCTGGTACAGGGGTTAAGACTTTGTACGAGGCCGACCCCATTTGTCCGTCCGTCCGTCTGTCCATCCGTCCGCCCCTCCCTCCCTAACTCTCTTCCTTCCTCTCTTCCTCCTCATTCCCCCTCCTTCTCCCTCCCTCTCCCTTTGGTTTGTGGGCCACTCAGCAATGCTCAGGGGTTACTCCTGACTCTGTGCTCTGGAATCATTCTTGGTGTGCTCCGGAGACCATTGAGGGTGCTGGGAATCAAACCAGGTCGGCTGAATGTAAGGGAAACGCTTTACTTGCTGTACAGTCGCTCTGGCCCCTGAGCCCTGTTTAATGCCCGGGCACACCTGGCTCCTGAGCAGCCCCAGGTGCGGCTGGAGGCCCCTGGGCTCCGCCCCGGGTGCCTCGAGTAACCCCAGCATTGAGCAGCACCACTTCTCTGGCCCAGTTGGCTAAGAACTGCTGGGAGGTTCACTAGGACTTCCTCAGCATTGCCTGAGTGCCCCCCGCAAATAAAGCATGAATGTCACATGAGGTCCCCCACCCCATGGGCATCAGCATGATTGAAGTCAGAGCGATAGTGACAACACCGCCACCTACTGGAAGATAAAAGGAGCATGTGGGCAGCACAGCCTGCTGGCACCACGGGAGGGAGGTTGTGGTCCAGGGGAGGGAGTCCCTCGAGCTGGTGGTCGGAGGAAGAGCCACGGCACAGGACAGGCCGCCGGCAGAGGAGGCTGAGGGCATGATGGAGAGCACCTCAGCCCAGCAGAGCTCCCCAGCGGGCACTTCCTGAGCCCCCTCCGCTCTACCCTGGAGCCGGCTCCATGCCCCTCTCCTTCTTCCCTGCAGCACAACCTCGGACACCATGCGGGGGGCTCTGGTGCCCCTGCCCCCGTTGCTGCTGCTCTTGCTGGGCTGCAGGCCTCGGACAGCCACCGGTGGAGGGGCCGGCCGGGCGGCGGGCTACGCGCCTGTGAAGTACGTGCAGCCCATGCTCAAGGGGCCTGTGGGGCCCCCGTTCCGCGAGGGCAAGGGCCAGTACCTGGGTGAGCACCTCCCTGCCCCTCCCGCCCCCGTTTTCCTTCTCTCCTTCCCAATGCTGACTCGAGGCTCCCAGCCTCAGGGCCCCAGAAAGGGGCTGGGGTGTGTGGTGGGAGGGTTGCGGTGCCCCCTGGTGGCCAATCCACACCCGCATGCAGGATTGAGACTCACCCCTCTCTCCGGCAGGCTTGGGAGGCTGGGTGTGGAGACCCCCAAGACCACTGTCCACCCCTGGACTCCGCCTCCCATGGGAGTGCAGTGGCTGGTCTCTGTCCCCACCACCAGGACACTGACTGCTCTCTCTCTCTCTCTCTCTCTCTCTCTCTCTCTCTCTCTCAGAAATGCCTCTGCCAATGCTGCCGATGGACCTGAAAGGAGAACCCGGCCCCCCGGGGCAGCCTGGACCTCGGGGCCCCCCAGGCCCACCTGGCTTCCCAGGAAAACCAGGCACGGGGAAGCCAGGGCTGCACGGGCAGCCTGGCCCTGCTGGGCCCCCTGGCTTCTCCCGGGCGGGCAAAGCTGGTCCCCCAGGGCTCCCAGGCAAGACCGGGCCACCAGGGCAGCCAGGGCTGCGGGGGGAGCCGGGAAGCCGAGGGGACCAGGGCCTCCGGGGGCCCCCAGGTCCCCCTGGCCTTCCTGGGCCCTCAGGCATTGCTGTCCCTGGGAAACCAGGCCCCCAGGGTGTGCCAGGGCCCCCTGGGTTTGGAGGGGAGCCAGGGCCCCAGGGTGACCCGGGGCCTCCAGGGGGTCGAGGCCTCAAGGGAGATAAGGGGGTGGGCCAACCGGGGCTGCCAGGGGCCCCAGGGCAGGGGGGCGCCCCTGGCCCCCCTGGACTTCCTGGCCCTGCTGGCTTGGGCAGACCTGGCCTGGATGGGCTTCCTGGGGCCCCTGGAGATAAGGGTGAGTCGGGACCCCCTGGGGTACCAGGGCCCAGGGGGGAACCAGGGGCTTTGGGCCCCAAAGGGTCCCCTGGGGTGAATGGAATTGGGGTGCCAGGGGCAGTAGGGGTGCCAGGTCCACAGGGCCTGGTAGGGGCCAAAGGTGAGCCTGGGCCCCGGGGCCCCCCCGGCCTGATGGGCCCTGCTGGCTATGGGGCTCCTGGGCTGCCTGGCCCTAAGGGAGACAGGGGCCCTGCGGGGGTCCCAGGGCTCTTGGGGGACAGGGGGGAGCCAGGGGAGGACGGGGAGCCTGGGGAGCAGGGCCCGCAGGGCCTGGGGGGGCCTCCTGGCCTTCCGGGGTCTGCAGGACTCCCCGGGAGACGTGGGGCCCCTGGACCTAAGGGGGAGTCAGGGCCTGGAGGACCTCCAGGGGTGCCTGGCATTCGAGGTGACCAGGGCCCGAGTGGCCTGGCTGGAAAACCTGGGGTCCCAGGAGAAAGGGGGCTCCCGGGGGCCCATGGACCCCCTGGACCAGCTGGGCCCAAGGGTGAGCCAGGTTTCACGGGCCGCCCTGGGGGTCCTGGGGTGGCAGGCGCCCTGGGGCAGAAGGGTGAGCTGGGGCTCCCCGGGCAGCCAGGCCTGAGGGGCCCCTCGGGAATCCCAGGACTCCAGGGCCCAGCTGGCCCGATTGGGCCCCAGGGCCTGCCTGGCCTGAAAGGGGAACCAGGCCTGCCAGGGGCCCCTGGAGAGGGGACAGTGGGCGAACCTGGCATGACCGGGCCTACAGGGCCCCCTGGGGTCCCCGGTTCCCCCGGACTCACAGGCCCTCCTGGGCCTCCCGGCCCTCCCGGCCCCCCGGGTGCCCCCGGGGCCTTGGATGAGACAGGCATAGCGGGCCTGCACCTGCCCGACAGCGGCGTGGAGGGGGCGGTGCTGGGCAAGGGGGGCAAACCACACCTGGGGCTGGGGGAGCTGCCAGCCCAGGCCACGCCGGCCTTCACGGCGGTGCTCACCTCGCCCTTCCCTGCCTCGGGCATGCCAGTGAAGTTCGACCGGACGCTCTACAACGGCCACAGCGGCTACAACCCGGCCACGGGCATCTTCACCTGCCCCGTGGGCGGCGTCTACTACTTCGCCTACCACGTGCACGTGAAGGGCACCAGCGTGTGGGTGGCTCTATACAAGAACAACGTGCCGGCCACCTACACCTACGACGAGTACAAGAAGGGCTACTTGGACCAGGCGTCGGGTGGTGCCGTGCTGCAGCTACGGCCCAATGACCAGGTCTGGGTGCAGATGCCCTCAGACCAGGCCAACGGCCTCTACTCCACCGAGTACATCCACTCTTCCTTCTCGGGCTTCCTGCTCTGCCCCACATAGCCCGGGAGGCGCCGACACTGCCCCCGCCGCCACCTCTGGTGGTTGAGAGAACTTTCCGGTGACAAGAACCTCCATGTAAAGGAAACCACCAGATCGGAGCTGGACAGAGGCGCTTTGGTCTTGGCCCAAGGAGAACGCGTTGGTTCCTCCCTGCACGGGGCGCAGGGTGGCCAGGAGAGGCTGGTCTGAGTCTCCCAGATGTCCGAGCAGTGGGGTAGGGGTGGGTTGTACCCCATTCCTGCCCAGCCTGGGAGGCCCCTTGGGGGTCCTGGACTCTGCTGGACCAAGGAGGTCTGAGGGTCCCCCTCCATCTCCCCGAGAAGGGGGGCCTGGCCACCCTCAGCTCCCTCAGGTCCTCCAGCATCAGAAGGTGGGTCCCCAAAGAGTCGTTCCCTCCAGGGGGAAGGAAGAGGGGGCTGAGCGAGCAGGGAGCCGGTGTGGCACCTGCCAGGACTGTGTCCAGGGTGGGGAGGAGGGACCTGCCTCTGGCCCCCCAGGCAGGACAGCAGCTGCCCTCCCTCCGCCAGCCAGCCAGGGTTCGTGCGGTTCAGCCCTGACTGTCCCTGAGTCTGTCAGGGGTTGTGGGTTGGCACACGGGCAGGTGCTGCAGGATGGATGCGCCCTCCCCGGCCCCCATGTAGTTCCCTCTCCTTTCCTGGAGGTGGTGGGGCTCGTGCTTTCGTACGGGACTGTAAGGGAGCCTTGTCTCCCCCACCCCAGGCACCCCCAAGGCAGAGCTCACCCTTAGAACAAGCACACGAAGCTGGACAGGCTGCTCCTTTGCAGGGGCACGCGAGAGCTCGTGGGCCTGTGGGCCTCTGGGCCGCCCCTCTCCTGCCCACTCTTCCGGTTCCAGCTCCATAAAACCAGCTCAGGAGGCTGGGAAGGAAGATGCCGATAGACCCCTCTGGAATGAGCTGGTTCTGAATGGCTCTGCCATTTCCCCCCACCCCACAGGCAGCAATCCCTGCCTCCCCTCCCCTCTGTGCCCTGATTCCAGCGGAGGGATGAAGTCGGGGCTCATTTCCTGTGTATGTGGGACCTCCCCTCGGTCTCGGTAGGACAGTGTGTGTCCTGAGCGTGCACAGTGACATGCCCTTGTGTACGGCTCCATCACTGGCCACTGTGACAGCCCTGACCCCCTCCCCAGGTATCTGCAGTGACCCATAGGAACTTTCCAGAGCCCCAGTGTCACTACCCACACGTTTAGCTGACGTTTGTGGTAGGTTCCTCCTCCCTAATACAAGAAGATCAACTAAGGTGCCTCAGGCCATCCGGGGCCCTTTGCCACCTCCTTCCTGGGTCCAGGTTGCCACCGGCTGACTCATTAGGGGCATCCTGATGGACACTGTCTGTGGAGGGCGCTGAGGGACCAGGAGGGTTGGTTCATGGAAGTGAGCTGCTGCCAAGTGCCATTCCTTAAGCCTCGGGAAGGGGAGCTGGGCGTGGCCAAAATGTTGGTGGGGGTTCAGCCCCAGGGACCCACTTACCAGACTGGCTTTGATCCAGGGTCAGGCTTGAGCAATGAAACATGACCTTGCGTATTCTTGCTATTCTGATACTAACTTTAAGATGAAGGCATATTTTCCTTTAGTAATTTCATGTCTAACCTGGTACAGGAAGCTTAGCGCTCTACATGCCTATTAGGTGCCCGTGTCATAGATTTGGGGAAAATGCGCTAGGGAATCGAAGAAAATGGGATTTTTTTTTTTTTTAAAGAAAAGCAATGGTGCTGATGGTACTGACACAACCTCAATAAAAACTGTTGTTTTGGACAGCCCTGGGCTGGAACCGCCTGGCTGCAGACCCCGGTCCTGGCTGTCCCTGCGAGTCTTGACCTCTGCTCCCCCGCCCCAAGCCTGCATTCCTCCTCGGCCACCTCGGAAGTGCCCCGTGCTCCCAGTCTGATGTGGCTCTCAATGCCAAGAAGTATCTGGAGAAACCAAAGGCAGGCTGGGGCTGGGGGAGGAGGGTCCTGCTTCCCCCAAACATTCCTGCAAGCTCTCAGGGGTAGTGGAGCGTGACAGCCGGCTCTGCACCCCGAGGGCCAAGTTTCAACATCTGATGCAAATTATGAATGAAACTGTGAATCTCTTGCTCCCGTGGGTGGATGGGCGCCAAGGCAGACAGGGCAAGTTGTCCTGGGCTTCAGAGCACTTGCCCCACAGATGGCCATGCTGGGCAGTGATGCATTTGTCCCTGGCTCTGGTCAGCAGGTTCCAGGTCCAATAGGACCCCAGTTTGGCTGAAAGTGGACCGGATGATCCTGAAACCTCGGGTGATCTGTAGCGTAGGGTCAAAAGTGGTTGGAGGACAGCTGTGAAGGATAGGTGCTCTTTCTGTCCCTGATGGCCTTTTTTGGGGGGCGATGGGTAGGTGAGTGGAACACACTCAGTGGTGCTCGGGGCTAGTCCAGGCTCAGTGCTCTGGAGGGACCTCTGGTGGTGCTCCAGAGACAACATGCGGTGTTAGGGAACTGGGACTAACCATGTGCAAGACAAGTGCCTGTACTGTGGCTCCAGCCGATGGCTCTTCTATTGAAAGGGATTGTCCAAAGAAGCTCCTGGTGGGCCACGGGATATTTCTGGGCCCTGAGGGAAAATGAGGCTCCCAACTTTCAGTCTGCTTGAGCCCCTGGGACGATGTGTCCTTGCCCGCAAACGAGTGGTGCCATCTGGTGAGTGCTGCCTCCATCCTACAGGGGATTCGGTTCCTACCCTCAGGGGGAACTATGAAGTAGTCAGGCCCTGGCACAGGAAAGTCTGGTGAGTTCCAGCATGCGCCAGGGGCCACTCTGGGGGTCTCCAGCTAGAAATGCCCAACCAGGCCAGCTCTTGCCTTTCCCAGCTCAGCTGTGTCCGCTGAGGCCCAGGGCAGGGGCTGGAAGACATGACATGCTGACAGCAAGGGCATCTCCAGAAGCCCCAGCACTGAGAACAATCCTGGGAGGCAGTGGACACGGAGGTCACGGTGCTGGGCAAGGGCAGAGAACAGGAAACGGGCGAGGTTCGTAGGAAACCGTTTATTGCTGCACCTGCCACTGGCTGCTGTGAACCAGCCCTCGAACAGCCAAGGGCCATGTGTGGACCCAGACGGGCCAGAGTCCGGGGCCTCTTCGTGACCCACAAGTGCGTGCTCCACATGGCCTGGACCAAACGGCTAAATCCCAACCGTCAAAAATGTTGTGCGTGCATCACGATGCCGCGTCCCCCACCCCAGGTCCTAGATAAAAGGAAAGTACCCCACGGATCCTCCAGAATAAAACTTGCCCTTGGCCACCCCAGGGAAGGTCTGATCCTCCGCAAGTCCGACACAGCACCTGGGAGGCTGTGCCCCTCCCCCATGGCTCCAGCCGCCCTCCCTGCCCCAGGGTGCCCTCTGCACCAGGCAGCTGAAGGAAGACAGGGGCGGGGAGCTGAGCCCCCACGATGCCAGGGCTGCCGACAGAGCAGTACTTGGTCCTGCTGGAGACCGGGAGGCCCCAGTGACAGTGGCCTTCACACACTTTTCTGGAAGACCCGGTGCAGGCTCTGGGCCAGGACATCTGTCTCCTCATAGCCCTCACAGCTCTGCTGCCAGCTCTCTGGGATTTGCTCCAGGCCGTAGTAGGCCCCAGCAATGGCCCCGGCCATGGTGGCGATGGTGTCTGTGTCCCCACCGAGGGAGATGGAGTAGACGAGTGTCCTCTGCAGGCTGTTGAAGGTGGGCGGGATCTCGGGGTCGGGCGCCATGCAGCGCAGGAAGCAGTAGATGGCGGTGGGCACCGACTCGAAGGCAGCAATGCCGTTCCCTGAGGAGGAAGCAGTGGGGACGCCTGAGATCTGCAGCTCCTGTCCCCAGGTGACCTGTCCGGTGCCATCAGGTTGCACTCAGCCTCAGGTCGAGCAGTGATTAATATTCCAGGAATTTCCCATCGTGCCCACAGCAGACCCTGCTGTCCACAGGGGCCGGGACAACTCAAAGGGCCGGCGCTCAGGCTCTGCATGTTGGGGGCCTGGGCTAGATCCCCAGCACCATACGGACTGCTGAGCACTGCCACGAGGGAACCCCCCACGCAGTGTCAGGAGCAGCCCCCGACTGCTGGATCAGTAAACATCAGTTCCCAGCCCTCGCTGCCACACTGGAGCCCAGCTAATATCCCCAGGCCACTGACCACCAGGCCAAAAAGAGCGAAAAAGCACCACCCCGCCTGCAGAGATCCTGCAGCACACGGCCATGCCATGGCGGGAAAATGGCCCCAGGGGACCCACCTAGCTCGGACACCACATCCTCTCTGGTCACTGAGGCCTGCTCGAGCAGCTCCCCGACCTTCTTCAGGCGGCTGGAGTAGGGGCGCTCCTCCATGCCCAGGCTGCGGAGGGGGACACAGTGCGGGGAGGGGAGTCAGAGGTGGACGGGCAGGGAAGGGTTGTGATGGGGGTAGCAGGGATGTGGCAACACCACGGCAGGGTCACAGAAAGGAGGTGTGGGCCTGGGGAGCTGGGCCTCCACGAACAGTCAAAGCCAAGTGGCGTCTGCAGCCCCCAAAAGGGAGGAGGCTCGGCCTGTCCCCATGCGCGCACCCCTCTGGCCGGCTTCTGCCCTAGACACTCACTCCCTGGCGTCCGAGATGGACTGGGTGTCGCTCTCCAGCTCCTCCATGTGGCCCAGCAGCTGCTCCAGGAAGCGCTCGCTGGACAACTCGCCCTGCAGGGCCAGGTGCACGGCCAGAGCCTGCAGGACGGCGCCGTTGTAGCCCAGGGAGGAGGCGTGGGTCAGCTGGGCCGACAGCCGGGCAAACTGGACCAAAGAAAGGGGGTGGGGAGAGACCGTCAGTTCCCGCGCCCCGTTCAGGGCAGGAAGAGGGGGCGGGCGGGGGGGGGGGGTACCTTCTGCACGTCCTGGATGCTGCTGTAGGCCAGGGAGATGCCGGCCACCCGCATGGCACCCCCGTTGCCATAGGAGCCTTTGCCGTTGAACTGGGCGCGCGCGGGCTCGAAGACATCTCGACACTTGGGGCTCAGGAGCTTCTTGAAGACGGTGATGACCCCGGCGCCATAGCCCCGGTCAGGGTCTTTTTTGTACTCCTGAGCAAATCTAGGGGGGTGGAGGGACACAGACGCCCGTGTGTCGGGGGAGAATTCTGCCGGTGCGGGGAAGGGGGTCTCGGGGTCCGCGGGAATTGCAGCAGGCCCTGAAACGGCACCTGTGGAGCGGGTCCTCCGCATCGCTGCTCTGTCAGGAGAGCCATGCCTGCCCACCTGGCTGGCCTCGTCCCTGGTCCTCTCACCTGTGAGCCATGTCCACCTCGTCGAAGGCCTCCTTGGCCAGCAGGGACTGCACCAGGGCCCTGGCCATGGCTGTGTCGTCTGTGTAGCACAAAGCTTCTGTGGGGGCAGAGCAGGGGGAGAGTTAGGGCTCTGGGGGCCGCCTCTGCACCTGCTTTTCCTGTCCCATCTACAAGGACTCACTCCCACACTGTGCTGCCACGCCCACTAGCTGGAGGGACAGGCCCCCTTTGAGACCTGCTTAGCTTCTCAAATCCTGCCTCCCCCGTCCCTCATGCCTTTCCCACCTGCCGGTCCAGAACAGAGCAAGAGCATCACTGCCCTCAGCCCTGCCTCTCTGTCACCTAATCCAAATGGTTGCAGGATGAGGAGCAAACTCACTGCCCGAGCAGCAGGCGCCTCTCCTTCCTCCCATCCGATACCGTCCGGCTATTCTCCGCCGACGCCTCCCACTCCGGACTCTCCCCCTCGCGTTGGCCCCCAGCCCTCTGGCATGTCCCCTCCTTCGGCTGACTCCAACAGGCTTCAGCAGCTAAGGCACAAGGACTCCGTCTTGCTTTTTTGTTTTTACTTGAGCTGCACCGAGTGGCATTCAGGGCTGACTCTGGTGGGGATCAGGGGAGGTAAGTGGTGCCAGGGATCAAACCCGCTCAGTGGCGTACAAGGCAAATGACCTACCTGCTGGACAATTGCTCCAGTGCCTGGGGGCTTGGTCTTATTGGAAGGAACAGACGGTTATGGAGGGCAGAACATGAACTCCATTTAGTGAACTCCATTTCCCTGCTAGTCTCACTCTGGGTTCCATCCATTCCTCTATGGATCCCAAGCCCCATTCCCACTTTCTCTTCCTGTCCCTCTCAGAAGCCCTGTCCTACGTCCCCAGCAGGACAGGCTCCTGGTGCCCACACAGCCAGTGGCCCTCCTGCAGAGCAGAAACTCTGCCTGGTGCCCACCCCCAGCCTGTGGCCTGGGGGTCCTTCCTGTCCGCCCTTCTCTGTGCAACAGCACCCATCCCCCCTCCCTTGGACTTTCTCCTCCGGAGACCCACTTCTCCCTTTCCCAGTTCTTGTTACAAGGCCATCGTTCTGGTGCTAACCCTCCTCCTAGCCTACCCAAGCAGCAAGGCTCAAACTGGGTCCTGGACTTCCACCCAGAGAAATTTCCTTCCCTGGAGAGAATAGCAGGGGCCAGAGTGATAGCACAGCAGGTAGGGCGTTTGCCTGACTGACCGGGATGACCCGAGTTTGATTGCTCCGCCCGGCAAGCTACCGAGAGTATCTTGCCCGCACGGCAAAGCCTGGCAAGCTACCCCTGGCGTATTTGATACGCCAAACACAGTAACAAGAAGTCTCACAATGTTACTGGGCCCGCTTGAGCAAATCAATGAACAACGGGAGGACAGTGACAGTGGAGAGGACTAGCAGGGACCAGAGCGAGAGTACAGTGGGTAGGGCGCTTGTCTTGGACACAGCAGGCCCAGGTTCAATTCCTGGCATCTCAGATGGTCTCCTGAACGTGCCAGAAGTGATTCCTGAGTACAAGGAGAGAGACAGAGCCAGGGTCTTTGGGGCTTTTCCATGATGCCTGTTAATTTCTTCTCTTTTCTCTTAGGGAACTGACATGGGTTTTCTGCAGTTTATATCCCAAGGGTCCTAAAACCACCTTATGACCACCATCCTCTACCACCCTAATGTTAATTCAAAAATGAAATTTTGTTTGGGGGGGCACAACTGGTGCTGCTCAGGGGTTACTCTGCACTCAAGAAACTCCAGGAATAAGCCCTGAGCAAGCCGGGTTTGGTCCCCAAACGAACCAAACAAACAAAAAAAAAGCAAAGAATAGTGTGTGGCCCTTTCCCCACTATCCTACATATTTCTAGAAGAATCATCCTCTACTTGGCTTCATGGATAATGAGTCGGGATCTGGGGATGGAGGCTGGGAGAAGCCCAAAGGCGTGATGAGAGACAGTAGGATGGGCACCTAGGTCCATAGTGGGAGGACAGCGGCCAAGCCTGGACAGTTCATGCCAAGCAGGCTCTGGAACTGGTTGGATCCCAGCACCACACAGGCGCTGCAACACGGGGTGCATCCCTGGAGCCTCCTGCGTTCTACTAGGTAGTCCTGGCTCCCCAAACAAGCCCCTGCAGTCAGTCCATCTGGGAGCTGCCCCCACCCCCCAATTCTGAGGGTGCGACTTTCCTTTTTCTCTGCGGCGGCATCCCTGCTTTCAGGGCCTCTCTCCCTCGCTCAAACTTCCTAAACGGAATCTTTCATTTCACACCACGAACTAGACAAGCCCAAAAGGCGGCATCGGGTGGCCCTGGGAGAGAGACGTCGCTGCGGGTAGGGCATCTGCACGCGACCACCCCGGTTCGATCCCCCGCACCGCACAGAGTCCCCGTAGCCCACCAGAAGCGATTCCCGAGTGAGTGCAGGACCAGGAGCCACCCCGTGAGCCCCGGCGGGCGTGGCCCCCAGACCCAAAGGAACAGGAGCGGCTCCGCAGACGCAGGTGCGGGGCAGCGCCCGCCCGCCGGGCCCGCGTCCCCGCCACCCCGCACGTGCGCCCCGCCCCGCCCCGCCCCGCCCACCTGTCCGCGCGCTGCCCGGCGAGCCCGGCTCGGGCTCCAGGCTCTGCACGTGACGCAGCACTGACGTCAGGGGGACGGTGTCGTGCGCCTCGTACACGGCGCCCACGCAGTCCCCGAGCAGCGCGCCGGCCAGGCAGCCTCGGAAGCGGGAGAGGGAGCGGGACGCCCCGGCCCCCGCGCAGCCGGCCGCCGCCATCGCCGCCGCCATGCGCGCCGCCCAGTCGCCACTTCCGGTGCGGCCGGCGCGCCCGCAGCCCGCGGCCCCACAGCGCCTCCCCGCGGCCTGGAGCCTCGGTGCCGCCGCGCGCGCAGCGCCGCCCAGCGGCCGGGAGTGGCAGCTGCCGCGTGCGTGGGACCCGCAAGCCCGGTGCCCTCGGCACCAGTGCACCAGACGTCTGCTCTCTTCACCTCTAAACGGTGTTCCAGATGGACCGGAAGGTCGCCAAAAAGCTCCCGAAGGGTGGCACTCAGCCACCGTTGGGCCACCAGCCCCCTAGCTTGCTCTATGAGGCTGCAGTCTGTCTCCCTTGAGTCCCCCTGCCCTTCCCTGGTGGCCCTGAGCGCCACCCCAACCTGCTTCTGCCCTCCCGTTCTGATCCTAACCTCCTCTGAACCTTCCCAGGCATCATGAAAACAGGCCAAGGTCAGGCACCAGGACTAGCCCAGAGCGGGGTTCCTTGAGGCACGGCAGGGGAAGGGAGAGCCTTTGATATGTGGGGCTTGCGGGCTGATATGCCCCGTGCTTACTGCTCTACCAAGCCTCTCACCCAATATTGTCTGCAGGGACGGACAGCTGAGAACCTTCTGGACTGAGAACCCTAACGTTTATTAGATTCTGTCTGCCCGCGCCCTCCCTTCTTGCCCATTTCCCACTTGCTCTCTCCTTCCCCGCTGGCCCCATGAGATTAGGACTGCTCCAAGTAGCATTTTTTGAGGGGACTGAGGATGCGGTTGGTGGTGCGGGAGAACGTGTCCACTTCAGGCACAAACTTCTCAGCAGGCACGGTCAGCCTGCGGCGGGTGTCCATGCACTTGGTGTCCAACAGTAGGGTGTTGGCCTTGCAGGCAATGTCAGCTTGCAGCTGGGCCAGGTGCTTGCTGAGCTTGTCCAGAGCGTCCCTGGGGAGAAGACATGAAGAACCCGTACCCGGCTAGGGCTACAGTAGGGAGGTGATCAGAGGTGACCCTCGTGGCTGGCACCTCCCAGCCCCTCTGCCATGCCTCCTCCCAGACCTACTGTGTCTGTGCCAGCTTCTGCTTCAAGATAGAGATGGTCTCTTCTAACTGATGGACCTCATCACTGAGGCCATACTGGGCCTGGCAGGAGAGGGATGGGTGGGGAGTCCCAAGTCAGCCAAGCTCTCCTATAGCCTGTATGTGCTACTGCCCCATGCAGGGCCCCTGTTCCATTACAAAGAAATGCTCTGGAGTCACGAATGTGGCTCAAGCATTGGATCCCCGACACAGTAAAGACTACTGAGTGTGTCTCCCACAGCAATGAACAAGTAGAGGGTAATTCTGCTTTGGGGCCACGCCATCAGAGCTCAGGACTTACTCCTGACTCTGAGCTCAGAGGCCATGCCTCGGGGTGCTATGGGACCATACACAGTGCTGAGATCCAACTGGGGTTGGTTGCGTGAAAGTACCTAACCCCTGTACTATCTCTCAGGTCTGGTTAATAATAAGTTTAAAAAGCCTAAATACTAGGGAGTGAAGAAGCCTCAGCTGGGGGCCCCGACACCTGGTCCTGGCAGAGTTCCACATTGGGCCGGTAGGTTCTGGACTCCAGTCGGGTGTGGCAGAGCTTAAGGTTGAGCATCTTTCTGTGCAGGTCATCTTCCAGGCGCCGGATGTCCTCCTTTAGATCTGTTAACTCTTCCATGGTCTGTGGGAGAGGGACCGTGACCATCTGGTCTGGACCACCCACCCTGGTGCACACAGGCCTTGGGACCTCCCCTGGCTCCTGATCCAACAGCAGCCAAGCCTGGCCCAAGGGACTAAATCCAAGGGGCTCACATTCTTCTCCTGCCACTTGAGCTCACTGAATAGCTTCTCGACCTCCCGCAGTCTCTTTCTGAAGGTAAATTCTGTGGCTACTCTCTGGGCTTCGAGTTCATTGTTGGTCTGCAGGCCAGGAGGGTGGGCAGGGCAGGGAGAGGATGTAAGCTCAGAGCACTCTCCATTCAAGGGAGGGGTCGGGTGTCCCTCAGTGAACCCAGGGAAAGGTCCAGAGTATAGCTGGGCCCACTAGGTGTGGATGAAGTTTGCGGGGTCTGAACCTCAGCGATCGTCAGGACCATGGCCTCACGCAGCTCCATGGCCTGTTTCATCTCCGTCTCTGCCCGGTTTATGATGAACTGGCTGAATTCATCCCACTGCTGGAGAGAGGAGGTGCTGAGGGCAGAGGGGACAGTGGTTAGGGGGCATGCGAGTGTGCGCCGGGCAGGAGGCAGAGCTGACCGACCTGCTTGCTTACTTTTCAGGGACCCGTGTGGGATTGGTCTTCAGGGAGAGGTTTGGAGACTGCAGGTTGAGAGAGAGGCAGCCTCGATCGATATCCAGGGCCTCCATCTTGTCCCGATGGTCAGTGTTGAGCTGCTGTCGAACTTCCTGCAGGCGGCTGGGACAAAAGAGATCCCTCTTGGGAGCCAGCCCTCCTAAGCTCTCCCTAAAGGACCCCTGGAAGTGGGTGATCCACGGAGCTGCCAGGGAAGCTGAGGCAAAGACCAGCATTTGCTGGAGGAGTGGTCTACAGGTGAAATTTGGGATTCCCACATTTTTTTTTCTTTTTGGGTCACACCCAGCGATGCACAGGGGTTACACTCCTGGCTTTGCGCTCAGTAATTACTCCTGGTGGTGCTTGGGGGACTATATGGGATGCTGGGAATCGAACCCGGTTGGCCATGTGCAAGGCAAACACCCTACCTGCTGTAAGATCCCCACTTTTTTTGCACCCCACACATACAGTCTGGGAACAGATCCCTGGAAGGTTATCATGGGGGCTGCAGACACATAGACTTGCTTTCAAGCTTCTTCTGGCCAGTGGGGAAAGGCTGTCGCTGAAGCTCGGTGGCAGGGGGTATTCTGAGCCTCCGGGCAGATGGGAGAGGCGCCCCGGCAGCCAAGGCAGAGGGTAGCTGACCCATGCCAGCATGACCTCCCAGGGGCAGGCGGATACAGGAAGGACACGTCCCTTACCAGAGCTTCTCGAAGGCTAGGGTGATCTTGTTCTGCAAGGCCATCTTGGCAGCCTCAATCACCGCCACCTCCTTGTGCAGCTCCTGCTCCACCGTGTCCACCACCACGTCGATGTCACGGCGGCTCTCCCGCAGGGTCAGGCACTCAATGGCCACGTCCAGAGGCAGGTTCTTAGCTTGCAGGTTCTGCTCTGCTGACTCTTTTATCTAGACGGCAAAGGAAGGGGGGGGGTCCCTGGAAAGCAGCTCTCCCCCACCCCCACTTTACCAGAAGAGACATTGAAAAATTCAGGTGCGTCCAGATGCACCCATCCCGGTTTACCCCCCTCCCCCACCCCCCAAACACCTGCCCCGGCTTCCTGCCTGGGCCAGGGCGTCAATCTCCGCATCTAAATCCGTCAGGCACTTGTCCAGCTTCTCCTTCATGCGGTTGACAGCATCAATCCTCTCTGCCAGGCGGGCCTGATTGTCTTGTTCATCCCAAATGGTCTAGGATAGAGTTAGAGAGCCAGACAGAGGGGGTGTTAGTGGTCGGGAACTATTCTACTGGGCCCCTTCTCCCCCCCCACCCCCCACCTCCTGTCCCCACCTGGTTGTTGGTCTCATTGCGGAGGACGCGGGCCTCCTGGCGGATTTGGTAGGACGCTTCTCTCTGCCGCTCGGCATTGGTGGACAGCAGGTAGCTGTTGGTGTGCCAGTCCGACAGCTGATAGCGCTCACTCGGCTTGGTGCTCAGAGTAGCCATGGTGCAGGGTGGGCCAAAGGGTCACAGCCCTAGGCCTGTCCCAAGACTCCCACTCTCTGCTGGAGAGAGTAAACTCGGCTGTAGCAGATGGTTCTGGGGGCCTCTCAGTGGCCTCACCTGCCTCCCTCCCGAGGACTTGCTCCTGTCCATGCCACTCCACGCCTGCAATAGCCTGCTGGGGGGTCAGGCCTTGCTGGACTGGGTGGCAGGCAGATTCCTGGGCAGGTGAAGTGAGATGATGGAATTCTGTGTCATAGCATGGTGTGGTGGTGGTGGTGGTGGTGGTGGTGGTGGTGTGTGTGTGTGTGTGTGTGTGTGTGTGTGTGTGTGTGTGTGAGAAACTGGACAATGGCGTTCCCAGTGGTGTGTATGAGTCTGTACACGGGTCCCTGCTGAGGGGGGCTGGTGAAGTGAGGAAGCAATTACCAGGAGCAGGAGCCTAACCCAGTTTCCTCCCAGTGGGGCCCAGGATCTGAGTCTGGTCCTCCAGCGGATGGGGAGGGGGGTGGGGCACTGTCTCCCTGACAATCCTCTATGGTTTAGACCCAGAGAGAGGAGGAGGAGAAGGTGGGAGGGAGAAGTGGGCAGGAAGAGATGGAGGAGATGGAGGAGGAGGAGGAGAAGGAGGAGGAGGAGGGGGAGGTGGGGGAGGAGGGGGAGGAGACATGCGAGGGCGAGAGGGAGGAGGAGGGGAGAGAAAGGAAATGGGGGGAAGAGGAGGAGGAGGAAGAGGAGGGAAGGGGAGGGGGAGGGGGAGGGGCAGAGGGAGGGAGCTGGGCTTGGGTGCGGGCCCCCAGCGCCCCGGCTCCCCAGTCTCACCCGCTCCGAGCTCTGGCTCTCCCGCCGCGGTCGCCCGCCGCGCAGCTGAGCCGCGGCCCGTTGCTAGGCAGCGGCCACGGCGCGTCCCTAATCGCCGCCGTGTTTGTCATGACAACCGCTGGGCAGCGGCCCAGGAGCCTCCGGGTAGGGAAAGCGGAGCCCGGAAAGCCGGCTGACCGAGGGGAAGGGGGCGGTGTTCGCTTCATCTACAAGGGAAACGCGTTTCAATTCTGATGGAAGTTATGCATCAACCTGATTTTACAAAATCCAAAAAACCTTCACGCAGTACTTAGAAAAAGTAACCCCCCTTTCCACATTTCAGACTCACTTCCCAGTTGGTCTCCTAGAAGCGCATATGGAACATTATTTGTACGCTTTCTTTTGATTCTTTTTTTTGGGGGGGTGGGGGTGGGGGTTGAGCACACCAGGTAGTGCTTAGGGCTTCCTCCTGGCACTGTGCTCAGAGATCACTTCTGGCGGGCTCAGGAGACCATATGTGGGGCAGGGAATAGAATCCAGGTTGGCTGCGTGCAAAGCAAATACTTACCCGTTGTATTCTCTCCCGCCCCTTTTTTCTGTCTTAACCGTTCTCTCGGCTGCTTAATGGCATAGGAATGATGCTCCCGTCTGGGCAGAAGCCAGGAGGACGGGGCGAGCAGAAGCTGTGTTCAAAATATAATTATGTCTTTTTAAAAAGAGGAGGGGGGAAGAAAATAACGAAAGCTGAAACCAGATCTGACTTTGCAGTACTGCTCTAGGCCTTGGAGAATGGTGGCGTTTCAATCTTCCTAACTGGTCAATCAGGCAGGCAGAGGAGCTCCGAGTCACAGCTTACTGGAGACTGGTTTGCTAAAAAGCAGGGCTGCAACCTGACTGTGTCTGACACCCCCCCCCCCCCCTACACACACACACACACACACACACACACACACACCCCACAGGCCTGCAGTGGCACTGGAAATGGAGAGGAAATCAGGGATGCGACTGAATTGCCTTCCTGGTCCTCTGCTGAGGACTTTGTCCATCGTTGGCTTGATGGGAATGTTATACTTGTCCTGCATGCGAGAAAACCGAGCCCCTAGTACCTAGTAAAGCCTGAATCCAAATCCAAATTCTGTGGCCTGACCCAGAAATGAAGCTCAGCTTTGATGGGTGAGGGGGAGAGATTCCAGCCTCTCCCAGCTTTTAAACCTTGAATGCCTGTGGGCATCTTATCCTGCACTGAGGGAGGAGGGGAGGAGAGGCTTGGGGACTGGGGAGGGAGAGACTGGCCTTAAGAAATCTGAGGAGCCTGTGGTGAACACAGGCGCACTCCAGCAGGCGAGTCTCGAGTTCGGAACAGAAACTAAGCTAGAACATTCCTTAAACTTTCTTGACCACAGATTATTATCTTTTTTCACAGACTGTTTTCTAAGCTCTAAGACTGCTTTGTCTCTGAGCCAGAAATGAATGGGAATTTGCAAGAAAGCCCTTTTGCTAGGATTAAAGAGGGAAAGGAAGGTCTTAGACAAATTAAGCACTGAAATAAATGATCAGACAGAACACCTGAGTGTAAAGCTCTGGGTTTGGCTCCCCAACCCTAACAGTCCCCTGGCTACCGTAAGGAGCAGTCACTGTGCCAGGAAGAGGCCTCGTCAGTGGTGACTATAAAAATGAAACAAATTAGGCTTCTATGTAATGAAACAGTTTGTAAGGGAGAGAAGCAAACAGACAAGGTAGAAGCATGGTGGCTGTGGACAAACAAACAAACACTGTCCTCCCGTTGTTCATCGATTTACTCCAGTGGGCCCAGTAACATCTCCATCGTGATACTTGTTACTGTGTTTGGCATACAGAATAGGGCCCAGTAATGTCACGAGACTTCTTGTTATTGTGTTTGGCAAATGAATATGTTCGGGGCCACACCTGGCTGTGCTCAGGGTTTATTCCTAGCTTTGTGCTCAGGGATCACTCCTAGTGGGGCCTGGGGGACCATATGAGGTGCCAGAGATCAAACCCAGGCTGGTTGTGTACAAGCAATTGCCCTACGCTGTACTCCCTGGCCCTTTAGGTAGAACTTTGACTGTGGTGGTTTTGGTGTCCATGGCTCCTCAGGCTCCCACACTCCGGGGCTTAAGGGGGAGGATTTTAGCAGAAGAGGCCAGACAACTGATGGATGAGATGAAGAAAAACTGAATGGTAAGAATCTGAATGGTAAGAATGCATGATCAGGGGCTGGAGCAATAGCACAGCGGGTAGGGCGTTTGCCTTGCACGCGGAAGACCCAGGTTCGATTTCCAGCATCCCATATGGTCCCCTGAGCACCGCCAGGCGTTAACTCCTGAGTGCAGAGCCAGGAGTAACCCCTGTACATCGCCGGGTTTGACCCAAAAAGCAAAAAAAAAAAAAAAAATAAAAAAGAATGCATGATGACATTTTATACTAGAGACACCAAGAATTCTATTGTGATGTTTGCTCTCTGCAAGGTCAGATCATGTGCAACACGTAAATATGCCACTGAAGAACTTCAGGTCTTGCCAAACATGTGGCAATGCTCCAGTGCCTTCCCCTAAAAGGTGTATTTTTCTAAGTGCTTGTGAAATGAGTCCTGAGAGCTCTACAGTGACTCCCACTGGTGGCGGTTGATTTTCCTCCTCCTTCCTGCTGTTTACATCAGATGGCACTTATGCTCCAGAAACAAGGGGTATCCTAGCTGAGCAAATGTCTGAATGGGTACCTGAGAGAGTTGAAAGATACTATATATGGGGCTGGAGCAATAGCACAGCAAGTAGGGCGTCTGCCTTGCACGTGGCTGACCTGGGTTCGATTCCCAGCATCCCATATGGTCCCCCAAGCACCACCAGCAGTGATTTCTGAGTGCAGAGCCAGGAGTAACCCCTGAGCATCGGCTGGGTGTGACCCAAAAAAGCAAAAAAAAAAAAAAAGATACTATATATCAAACAGTTTCAAATACTTTTCAACTGGCCTATTCCTAAAATGACTTTGCAAAAAAGGTTGTCACATTCGGTTCAGCTAAGACTAAGAGAATAAAACATCATACAGGGCTTTGTAAACTTTAGCTACTCATATGCCCGTTTGGTTTATGACTTTAGATTTTGAACCCAGCATTATGATGGTGGTAGATGCTGTTATTGTTTTTTGGGTAACATTTAGCTGTGCTGACTCCTAGCTCAGTATTTGGGGGTTATTCTTTGGTGGTGCTCAGGGGACCATGCAGTGCTTGGGACCCAACCCTGGCTCCTGTGTACAAAGCACGGGCTCTAGTCAGTTCTCAAGGTTTACTCATGGCTCTGAGCTCTGGGGTTGCTCCTAGCAGTGCTTGGGCACCATAGGTTCTGATGGGGATTGACCCAGGGTCTGCCATATATTAGGCAAGCTCCAGCCCATCTTGCCTCTGATATCTATGATCTTTTATTTAAAAGAAAATCACTGGGGGCTGGAGCCAATAGCACAGCAGGTAGGGCGTTTGGCTTGCATGCGGCCGACCTGGGTTTGATTCCCAGCATCCCATATGGTCCTCTGAGCACTGCCAGGAATGATTCCTGAGTGCAGAGGCAGGAGTAACCCCTGAGCATCACCAGGTGTAACCCAAAAAGCAAAAGCAAAAGCAAAAGCAAATCACTGTATGGGTGGTGAAGAACATCTTTGGTGCTGGGGACTGAACCCAAGACCTTACACATGCAATGCAGATGTTCTACTACTGAGCCACATCCCTTATCCTGGATAACCTCTTTAAAAACTGAGCTCCAGCCACATGCCTGGGTCTGCCAGGTACTTCCAAATAGCATCTAATTTAATGTTCCAGCAGTCCTACCACTACCTCCTTCCAAGCGGAGGAGACAGAGTTAGAAGCATTAAGGACTTGCTCCGAGGACCAGTGCTGGAACCCGGAATAACTCTGTGTTTTGTTTGTTTGGTTTGGGGCCATCCATATCTGACGGTGTTGAGAGATCGTGAGGTGCCAGGATGGAACCTGGGGTCCCCACAGGCTCATGATTTCCAGCCCTTTAAGGAGACCACATGACTCAAACCCTGTACATTTCCCCCCATGTCTCACTAACTCTTCTGTCCCAAGCATAGAGAGTGACAATGACCACCACACAACAGGAAGTTTGGAGCAAAGCTTTTCTTTTTATTGCAGTTACTAGTGAAAATTACACTTCAAACTGAAGCTAAGCAACACTAAAACCATTAATTTTTGAAAATCAGGGATCAAAAACAAATACAACATTAATCCTTCCAATACACAAAATAGCAGAAAAGAGTGGTCCTGTCACAAGACATTTTAGTGACAGACTGGCTCAGAAAGGATCATGACAATTTCTTTAAACAACAAAATATTGTGAGTGACTAAACTGCTTTAAAAGCAGCTTCTTCAAGCATCTTAATCTCAACCCCAATTTTTCTGTAGTAATTTTTGGAAAGATAATTTAACTGAAAGTAGAAAATTCACTACCAAATTTATTTAAATACCGAGAAAAATACTTATGTTTAGAAATGTTATTTACCTTCTTTTCATCATAACTACATATATCAAGGAGTGAAAATGACAACCGAATTCAAAGTCTCACCCCCAAGTACACAGTGATAGGATTCAGCATTTGGTGTTTCTGATTATACAGTGATTACATATCTATCTATCAGAGGCTTGCTCCCCATATACACTCAAATTCCCTCTTATTATTAAACGTGGCAGTCAAATTTAGTATTATTATATAAAGTATTATTATTATTATTTTTACTTTAATTTTTTTAGTGGTGCTGGGAATGGAACCCAGGTCACATGCATGCAAGGCATGCACTTTCAGAACCACCCCTTTATTCATAATCTTATCTGGTCCTATAGTGTCTGACAATCTTCGACTTTCTCCATTTTTAAGATGGAAGTTGCAAATAAACCTTTTGAAACTCTGCAATCATCCATCCACTACAGTAAAACTGTTGTTGAGTCAACAGAAACCATAAGACCACTAGGCCCAAGATAGGGTAGGAAGATGAGGAAGGAGCTTGGAGAGTCCCATCACTTTACCGTGTTGAAACTTGGGATCAGCAGAAATATTTGGCAAG